GTAGTAGTAGTAGTAGTAGTAGTAGTAGTAGTAGTAGTAGTAGTAGTAGTAGTAGTAGTAGTAGTAGTAAGTAGTAGCAGTAGTAGTAGTAGTAGTAGTAGTAGTAGTATGGTGTCGGCGGAGAGACAGGGATGTCGTGTATACGGTGAGCTCTTCCTTTCAACTCCTCGTCAAAGAGAGCCGCTCCTCGGATCGGTCAGCCACGCGATCGCACTATGATCGCTGCCTGGGTGCGTCGCGAGCTCTCCTGCAAACTGTCTGAGACACCGCGGGCCCCTCTCACGGTTCGACCGAGGTGATCGAGTCTCGACTGTGTGTGTGTGTGCCCAGCCTCTCCCCCTCCAGGAAGGAGTAGTAGAGGAGCATGTGCACGGGCCTCCTCGTGGCCGCTTCTCGGGCAACGCGTCCACCAGGGACGTGGGTAAGGAAGGGATCGGGAGTGTAGGAAGTCGGAGTCGGTTATCCCTCGCCGTTTCTAGCATCATTTGCTTGATATCTGTCTGTACTTGTGGTGCTATGGACGTGGCTAACTCCAACCCCTATAGGGGTGCCCCCTCTCGTGTCGCTGGGGGAGAAGAACCGGTGGGTGCTGGGGTTGGTGCGTCGGTGTTGGCGTCTCACGGGTCTTCTTCCAGGTCCTTTGTTCAGATTGGGGGCGGGAGTGCACAACCCCTCCAGGGCGATACGACGGCGAGGGCGGTTGGGCCTCCGGGCCTTTCCCTTGCCTCGCGTCCTGAGAGGGCAGGCGGCTTCGCCTCTGGCCCCGGCGAGTCGCAACGAGCGCGTTGTGACACGCGTCGTCGGTTGGTGATCTCACAGGGCCCTCAGAACACGGCACGGCAGACCAGGCGCCTTGAACGGAAGCAGAGAATCCGGAAATGGAAGACGATACGCAAAGCGAGGAAGTCTCGAGCGAAACGGTGTCGTGCTTTTTATCGTTTGTCTCTGTTACGCAGTGCCAAAAAGAAGAGAGGCTCGGAGGAGATTGTCCTTCGGGGTGGAACCTGGAACAATCGCAAACTGGGATCGAGTCGTGGTTATGAGCCATCCCAACTAAAAATTGAATGTTTTTTAACCCTGATGGCAGTTAGGCGGTGGGAGTTTGCTATGTTTTCAGATGTCAATTTTCGTCAAAACGGGGTCCGGGAGTATGACGTAGGAACGGAGGTGTGGACCTTCATCATTCGTGGCAGAGTCTGTGTGGTCCCCAATCAACGTCTCACTGCATTGTGGCGAGCTGGTGGATCGAGGGTTGTAGTCAGGGGGAAGTGGGACAGGAAGGGGATTAGGGTCATGGGAGTTTGTGGGGGAGAAGCGCATTATTACGTGGGAACACGTGTACGGGCACACCGGGGCCCATGATAATGAGCTGGCGGATAGGGCGGCGGATTGGGGAGAGAGGGTATGCGTCGACACAGTCCGCCCGGTGGATGGCGTCTCCCCCGGCGGTAGCCGAGCTGCACTGGGAGGATGTGGACTACTGCAAGAAATGCGGCCTAAAGGTGCTTAGCAAAGACTTGTACGGACATATTACTAGGTGTACGGTTGCTGGCTTTGCCATACCTGCTGGCATGGCGCGGTGCCGAAAGTGTTTAATTTTTGTAAAGGAGGGATGCCGCTTCGCACATGAGTCAAAGTGCAGGGGGAGCGCCATACTGAACCGGACATGTTCTAAGTGTGGTTTGGTGTTCCCCCCGCCGCCCCCGGGTCTTCTGTGCCGACCCTTGGGCAATCATGAAAAAAGGTGTCGTGGGGATAGCGCTGCAAAGGCGAAAGCCAAGGCGGTGGCGGCCGCGGGGGCAGCGGCGCCCGCCCCGCCACCCCCTCCTGGGCAGGGAGCAGCGAAAGCGAAAGCCAAGCCGAAGCCGAAGCCAAAGGCGGTAGCTAAATTGAAAGCGGGGCCACCGGCCAAGGCCGCGGCGGCCAAGGCCAAGGCGGGCGGTTTGGCCCTGGGGGCCAACGCCAAAGCCAAAGCGGCGCTCCGAGCAGGAGGGCGGGTCCGGCGACGCCCGGCGGGAGCCAACTAGGAGCGAACCTGTCTCAGGAGGGCCTGAGGCGTGGTTTGGGCGGGGGGTTGCGGGGGCGGGTGGGGGGGTAGCGGGGGGGGGCACTGGCCTCGCAGTGTGGGCGCTTTGTTATAGCGGTTCCTCTCTGCAGCTGACGGCAGCGTCCCCTCGGCGACTGCCACGTGACGATGCCGGCCCCGAGCCGTGCATCGGGGGCGGCCAGGGCAGGGTTCGCCCTGCCCACTGCTGTGCCAACACGAGCCCCGAGCTCGTCAATTGGCCGCCCCCCGGCCCCACTGCAGGGGGTCTGTGCGAGGCCTGTGCCCTACCTGTCGCCTCTTTCTACTTGCTCCTCCCCTCTCTACTTGTGCCTTCGTTTTTTGTTTTTCCCTCCTACTTCTGTGCCTAACGGCAGCTGTCTCTTGTTTTTGCGTTGTTCGGTCTGCAGCCTTCCTCCCTGCACTGTGGTATTGCTGGACTCTCGTGCGCATCTCCGCCGCATAAGGACAAATATGAAAAAAGAATGAGAGAGGACGGCCCCCCCTCCCCCTCCCCCTCCCCCTCTCCGATCCCTGCTGTTGGTACATGGATGCATTGATGGTGTTCGCCGCTTCCCGCAGCGGCTCACAGCTGGCCCCCGCCCGCCGGTCGACTGCTATCGCCCGAAGGTCCCTCGTCGCCCTCGGCCGGCTGGGCCCCTGGTTGGGGGTGGGTTGGTGGGGTTGGGGGTGGGGCGGTGTGGGGGACCAGGGGTCTGTGGTGGTAGGGAGCATGCGAGGGGCCCTTGGGCGGCAGTCTCTACCGCCTTGTAGGAGGTGCCCAGATTGGGGTGTGTCAGCGCGCAAGTATGGGAGCCCAGCAGCGCCGCGAGGAGACGGCCCGCCGCCTGGCGGCCCTGGAGGAGCGCCAGACGGACCAAGAGTGGCGCCTGGGTCGTCTGCAGAACCAGATGGGCCAGGTCTTGAAGAGCACGAGCCTTGTGCTCGAGGGGTTCCCGTCGGTCGAGCAAGTGTGGGTGGCCCACGGAGAGCAGCAGCAGTACAGGGAACTGCGCCGGGAGACTCCGGAGGCCGTGGGGCGCGACGTTGCGGCGCACCTGAACGCGGCGTGGCCCTTGCCCGACCGGTCCGCGGACCCGCCCGGGCCGCTGACGGCCGCGGCCTGGCTCCGTCTCCTCATGGAGGAGCTCGGGCAGGAGAATGTGGTGCGCGCGGTCTTTGAGCAGCGCCGCTGGGGCGCCGCGGCCGGGGCGCGTGTGCGCATCCCGGGGGTGTCCAAGGTCAAGTTGCAGTTTGGAGCTGCGTCGTTGGGCGCCCAGCAGGCGATCCAGGCGCTGGATCACCCGCTCCGCCGGGCCTTTGGGTTGGCGGTCCTGGGGGTGGCCCTGGCGGCCGCGGCTGCAGGGGCCGTCCCGGTGCGTCGGTTGATGTACCTTGAGCGCGCGGACGAGGGGCGCGAGCGCCAGGGCAAGGGCGCGGGCAAGAGCAAGGCGCCTGGCGCGATCCAGGGCAAGGGCCGCGGCAAGGGTAAGGGCAAAATGGGCAAGGGCGCCGAGGCCAAGGCTGCGGCTGCCAAGGCAGGGGCCGGCCCTGCGCCTAAGGCGGCTGCGGCCCCGCCCAACCCGGCAGCCGCCGGGGGGGGCGGTGCGGGCGCGGCGCCTGCGGCGGCCGCTGGGGCCCCCGGGGGCCCCGGGGCCTGAGGCCGTGGTGCGACGCACTCCGCCGTCCCCGGATACAGGGCCCAACGGGGGCGGGCGCGTAGAGGTGCCGTGGGCCGTGCATGTCGCTGGAATTCATCAGGGCCCGCGTGCCATCTTGTATCGAGCAACAATTTGTGTTCTTGTCTCATTGTGCGTGGCTGCTTCACGTTTGGTGCCGAATTGGGCGGGGAAGGAGGGTTGGGAGGGGAATCGCTGCTACGTGGTTCCAATGGAACGCGGTTCACGACTGGTGGTGTTGGAGGATGAGGGTTAGGGGGGAGGAGTGTGTATGAGTGGGATTTCTCTTGGTGGTCTTGTCTTTGGCATCTATTCCTCCCTTCCCCCCCCCCTCCCCCCCCCCCATGGTCCCTCCTCCTCCCCCCCCGGGTGGGCCACCTCCAGGTTCCCCCCCTCCTGCTCCTCCGGGTCCCCGGTGTCTCTCCGGGGGCGCGGTCCTCCTCGCCGCCGCCCGTCGTCCATTTCCCCCCCGGCAGGATTTTTTAATGGTCCGCCTGCCCGCCCGCGGTCTCGACGAGGCCAGGCAGCGGGGCGCGGAGACGGAGACGGAGACGGAAAGAGTAGTAGCCCTTCCAAGAGCTGGGTGTAGTAGGCGCAACCAAGGGAACATCTGCTATCGTCGCAAGACACTCAGAGTCATGCTTCTCATTCGCAGTACACACCACATAGTTGCAAGTTGATCTCATGGCCATTGCCGATCGCGCCAAGAAAGTTACCAATCAAGACAGATACAGCAGAGAGAAAGAATCCCTCCATCTGATGTTCCAGTTCATTTGTGATCACCGAAGTCGATGAGCCATTCGTCTGGCAATCGCAAGTCCCATCGTCGCGCCAATGTGCATCCCATATCCATTGGGCTGTGGAACTCCATGGTACTGCTGATCCTGGATGGCCGCCTGCGGCTGGTTCCAGAACTGCTGGGGCTGGGGATCCGTTAGAGGTCGATTAAAACGAGACGATCCTGTGAACCGTGGGCTGTCCTGAGAAGCCACACCATTGCCCAGCATCTGGAAAGAGGAGTAAATATTATTTAGCTGGTATATCCACTGAGTGCCATGGCGAATCCATTTAGATACGTGCTGCATAAAGAAAATCTCTGACTTGCCCACATCAACGCCAAAGTGATACCCGAACAACGCACCCACTGAGAGAATTGCCACAATGAGTGGATCCAACTGGCCAATCGGGATTCCTCTGTAGAACTTAGAAAGGATTGAAAACGCTGAATCAGCAATATCTTCCTGCACGGAACCTCCTCGGACATGCGCCGCCGTATCTCACTGGGCGGTGCGCAGGATGTCGAAGGCCGCCAGGATCCTCTCCCCCTTGTAGCGCGGGGGCTTCACGTCGGGCTTGTAGGTCTCGAAGAGGCGGTGGATCAGCTTGAGGAACTCACGGTTGGCCCAGCGCCCCTCGCACGCCGTCTGGAACTCCTCGAGCGTGCCCGTGGTGAGCTGGGCGAAATGGCCCATTTCCGCCGCTGCATGCCTTCTTTGAAGGCTGGTGAGGATGCGCTTCTCCTGGGGCGACTCTCCCGATGTGGTCGAGTCACGACCCTTGCCCGTCAAGCGACGGCGGGCGCCTTCACCCTCTGTCGAGGGCCCCGGTCACGACGGGCCTTGGTCACCCACGAGAGCCCGCTGACCAGCGATGAACTCGTTGAACTTCGCGTCGATGGCCTTCACGATGGCCTCCCCTTGCGCCTGAGCGCGTTCGGCTTCCTCCTTCGCCACTGCGTCGCGGCGAAGCTTCGCGTGCGTGGGGTCGAGCTTGAGCGCGGTCTTCTCGGCCTCCCGGATCTTCTCCCCCTCGCGGCTGCGTCGCACCGCGTCAGACGAAGTAGAGGGAAAACGAGGTCGGCGCCGACGATCTCTGTCGCGATCTCTGCCCCGATCGCGGTCGCGAGCTCTATCGCGTTCCCCCTCGCGCTCACCATGGTAGTGATGATGATGCTGTGGCCGACCACTTCGTCCACTGCCGTGCGAGCTATGCGCCTGGCTCCAGTCTCGGTCCCATGACTTGGATCCTCCGCCGTAGCCAGCGCGGTCCCCGTTCCAGCCCCCTCTGCCTCCGCCACGACCTTTGCCTCGGCCCTCCATCGCTGCAGACTGAGGGCCACCAGGTCGCGGTCGGGGGCGGCCTGCGCGCCAGCGCCTGAGAGCCGCCCGTGCTAGGCAGGCTGGAGCCGAGCACGGCGGCGAGTGGACGAGAGCCCTCGAGGGGGAAAGGGTGCCGATGTAGAATACCTCCATAAGGGCCTCCCATATCACAAGCGCTTCTATGAGGGGGCCCACGCCCAACGCATAACACCTCGATGCCCTGCCAAGAACAGTGCCCCGAAGCTGTCCAAAAGGAGTTGCTAAAGTGCCTGGCCACTCTAGTAAACTGGGCTTGGGGCGCTCTGAGGGCCCAATGAGTTCTGGAGCCATGGCCGACTCGGGTTCCGTGGAAGCCAATGAAGATGCCCATCTCGAACCCATAGTACAAGATCCAACCATTCAAACCGTTCGCATGGGATCACGGGGAACTTCTTGGTCTCATGAACGACTGAGAGGGGCTCCTGGAATACTCGACGAAGGGGGGCTGTGATGCATGGCGAACGTATCCTCTTCGACACTGCGCGCGTATCCTCCACGTAACGCCGCCGACCCAACGTAGCTCCGAGGGTCTCCTGAGGGTCCCCCGACAGACGCCCAAACTCCTCTTGGAGGACTGCTGAGCCTGCCCGTTCTTCTGCTGACAAGTGGACGGAGACACAGGCGGAGCTCATGGTGCCCCTAGCGATCCCCGTCATTGCGAATACGAGACCCCCAAGACAAACCATATTCAATGCTGTGACGGCGACCGCCGCGCGATGAATTGCTGAAAGAGAAATCGACCACCAACCTCGGCCAAAAGCAACGTGACCATGCCGTACATGGAAGGCACGACCTCTCCGAACACAGACCCTGTCAGTGAGGAGCTTCGAGAGGTACTCTCGCTCAAGCGTCGTCCACTTTTCGCCGACGCCCGTGGCGGAGCAAGACTCACAGGCCTGGTCAATATCTACGCACGCTGCATGCGCTGTCGCGGCCATCCGCTGGCGGCAGGAGAGGCAGGACACCACTCCTGCCTCGGGCAAAAGCTGCGATGGGTGCGGCTCAGCGAGAGCTGCCTCCATGTCCCGCAGCGCATCGGCGACCCGATGCACGTCGTGGACCTCGTGGGAGCCACCGACCTCGAGCATGGCGCCCCTGACAGCGCGGCCCATGACCTTCCAGCCTCGGGCGCGCGCAACCTCTGCCATGTCGACCACGCGGCGCCAGCAAGAGTGCAGCGGGCGTGTGCGCGTATGCTCGCCCACATCCGTCCAGCACTTCGACTTGACATAGCAGAACAACCTCGGCGGCCTGAGGGCGACCTGGGAGCTCCAGCCAGCGCCGAAGGACAGGTGGGAGCCCCAGGCGCGCCTTAGCTCTCATCCAGTCGTCCACGTCTGAAGGCTGAAGTCCATGCTGGAACTGCCACTGCGGGTCTTCCAGCACCTGCTTCAGCAGGTGGAGGCGAAGGCCCTGGGGGTCCACGGCCCAAAGCTTGCCCACCTGCTTGTCGTCCTGCACCAGCGCTTTGCCACCCTCAACAGCGTCGCGGAACGGCGCCTCAAGCAACTGCCATCGAGCCGGCTGTGTCGGCGCATTGAAATCTCTGAAAAAAAACACGACTTCCAGAAGTCGCGACTTGATCGATGTAGTCGAGGATGTAGGCGAAGCTGCTGGGTCCAATATTGCCACTACGCAAGCACGGTCGCTCGCACCTTCTGGGGCGTCTTCCACCGTCCAAGCTGCCATGGCCTTGAGATAGCATGGAGGTCGGGGTACAGCGCCGCGTAGCCTAGGGTCCTGTGCTCCTGGCCCTGGGCGTCGGACTGGCTGAGGCCCTGGAGGACCTGCTTGCACGACAGCTTGTCGCGCCATCGTTCTCCTGCAACAGTGCCTGCCCTCAGGTGTTGTGCCGCCCACCGTCGTGCTACAGGTGAGCGGATGGTAAGCAGAATCTCGCCAAGGGCCCGTCGTACTGTATGAAGGCGACGGTGGAGCAGTGGCGGCAACCTGAGAAGCGGCAAGACTAGCGGAAGGAGCTGCCACACCTTCAAAATGTACTCGAGGGACTTCTTCGCTGCAGTCTGACTCGCACCCCCACGGACCATCTTCGGGAGGACCTCGTAGGCTGCATAGATGTACGCCGCCACCTGGTCACGTGTCCACGGAGGGGGCGTAGTGACGAACGGCTTCGGCATGGCACAATACGCCAGAGACAACGGGACATGCTCATGCAGGTAGACGGGCCCAACACAACACGTCATCGCCATTGCAAGCCGTTGATGTTCTCGATATTGCCGTACGTAGGGGCCTCGAACCTGAGAGCGCGGGTCAGGTTGACCAGCGTCAGCAGGGTCTCGTGCAGCTCCGCGGCTCGCCGCTTGAAGGACAGGTAATGACCGCAGAGACGTCGTCCTGGCCGCCTGCCGAAGATAAAGCGGTGGGCGGCGTCTTACCTTCGCCGACGGCCAAAGCAGCACCCCGCGGCCGCGCTGAAGGCGATCAGCCTCCGCGTCCGCACGGTTGCACTCGGGGGCGACGGCCGTGATGAACAGTGTCTCCACAGCGAAGGCCTGACTCTCCGTGGCCGTCGCCGTGAGCGGGATCATGCCTACACTGCCCAGGAATCTGCGGAATCGTCCATATCTCGGTAGACGGCCATCTCTTGAATGAGGTCGAAGTAGAGCTCGAACATGTTCCGACGCACGCTGAGGGAAGCCTGGTTGTTGTCGGCGTAGCTGGGTAGATTTTATCCCACATGCAAGCCACTGTGGGGAAAGAGTGCATAGACTAGAACAATCGTACCAATCTCGTGTCCTCTGAGGACAGCTCGACAAAACTGACAGTACTCTGAATTCGAACCACTCAAGTCATTCCGAAAACGCACAGGTAGAAGTCGAACTACACGAGCCGCCCAGCGGGGAGGACGTCGTAGTTCCAAGGCGCGTCGGAGCCGCACGAGGCCTAGGGCCGCGAGCAGTTCCGCCATCAACTGTACTGCGGTGGGGTCAACCTTCCCATACTTCATGTGCGTCGGGAAGAGACCCTCCAAGACGTCAGCAAGCGCAAGCTGAAGCGTATCCACATGTTGAGCGTCGAACTGTGCCCAGCACCACCGTTGAAGTTCAGGAAGCGCGGTAGGCCCTGGATGACGAAGTTGTGGCCGCAACGGGGTCGCGATGTGCACGCCACGGCCACCTCCTGGGACTGGCCACTGGTACTGACGTGGGGCCGACCCTGGGGTGGCCGCGAAAAACTCTGATGTCATTGGGCCCAGAGGAGCAGCTCCTCCTCGGCGTGAATCAGGTGCTGCACCTCCTCCTGGTCCTGAGCAATCTCCTGGTCTGTGAGAACCGACGCGGCTCTCTCCTGCTCCCTTGCTTCTTGAAACAGGCGCTGGTTGAGCCATCGCCGCCGTAGCGTGGCCCAGATGTCGTAGAAGTGGGCGTGGTACTCACGGGAGGCAGAGAGGTGGCGGATGATGGCCGTGTCGTCCGCGAAGAGCATCAGAACCTCGATGATCTCCTTGGAAGCAAAAACAGTCATACCGGCCATGAACAGGGTAATGAAAATGAGCACGAGGCCTCCCTCGGACAAGAAGACGTCGAGAGAGAAAACGTTCGCGCGAACCTACAGCCACCGTTGCGTCACCGTCGGTATTGGCTGGAGTAGTGCAGTAAGGTGTCGGCGGAGAGACAGGAATGTCGTGTGCACGGTGAGCTCTTCCTTTCACCTCCTCGTCAAAGAGAGCCGCTCCTCGGAGCGGTCATCCACGCGATCGCACTATGAGCGCTGCCTGGGTGCGTCGCGAGCTCTCCTGCAAACTGTCTGAGCCGAGACACCGCGGGCCCCTCTCACGGTTCGACCGAGGTGATCGAGTCTCGACTGTGTGTGTGTGTGTGTGTGCCCAGCCCCTCCAGGAAAGAGGAGTAGTAGTAGTAGTAGTAGTAGTAGTAGTAGTAGTAGTAGTAGTCGTAGTAGTAGTAGTAGTAGTAGTAGTAGTAGTAGTAGTAGTAGTAGTCGTAGTCGTAGTAGTAGTAGTAGTAGTGGTAGTAATAATAATAGTAGTAGTAGTAGTAGTAGTAGTAGTAGTAGTAGTAGTAATAGTGTAGTAGTAGTAGTAGTAGTAGTAGTAGTAGTAGTAGTAGTAGTAGTAGTCGTAGCAGTTAATAATGGTAGTCG